AGTCTTTAGCTTTGCTTTTTTGCTAGCAATGACAGCTGCTAGTCTATAACCGCCACAATGCCCTGCCCGTCTCCAGCCTTGTCACCAGGTTTAGCTACAGTGGGTCCTGGCTACTCAGGCTGGAACGTTGCTTCTGCCCCTCCTTCTCTCCTGGCCACCTTGTGAGGCTGTAGCCCAACTCTACCACTATTGCTTCACCTGGGCCAGGGCAGGTGCTGGACTGCACCTATAGCCACTGTCCCTGTCCTCCCCACAGCTTGTCTACCCTGCTTATCCCAATATGCCCACCTTCACATGTCCTGTTGTGTGGATCTCTCAGACCTGTTAGTGTTGAACTGTGGTTGCCTGACTTGCTGTAACTTTAAGAGAGAAGCCAAGAGGCCTTCTCCCGTGGTCATGACGCAGACACCGCTCCTCCCGCAGGATTTTCTATTCTTTTTCTCTCATTTATAAACCACTTGGTTTTATTTTCTCTTTGATATAAGAATTATGAAGAGGATTGTTTTAAATTTTACTAATCGGAAATTTATATTTACCTTTTGATTTGTGGTTTCTAGTTTTCACCTGAAAAAGAAAGTGTCCTCTGAAATCTATGTCTGCGGACTCTATTGAAGTTTTTGTTTTGTAGCCAAGGATATGGACAATAATTATAAATGTTCTCTGGGCTTAAAACAAAAATGCATATTCTCTATTTACATATGTAAAGTGTATATTTTATATATATATATTTTAAAGTTATGGATTTAAACAAAATCTGTCATATACTTTTATTAACTATTTTATCAAATTCTAGAAAGTGTATATTAAAGACTATTAAGATATTGATTTATTTCACTTCTTTAAAAGTTTTTATGAGTCTTATTATACAAACTACTTTTACATTGTTTTTAATGTTTTCTAACCGTTAAGATCTACAAATTTTTCTATTATCATAAAATAGTCCCATTTTGTGATTTATGCTTATATTTGGCTTAATTGCTGCTTTATCTGTAAATATTAATGCTACCATTTTTCTCTAATATCTGCCTTTACCTAATACATCTTTGCCCAATTTCATATTTGTGTGATTTTAAAATGTGGGTTTTTTAAACTCATCTTCTAAAAACTATGCTTTGAATATGACACACAAGTAGATATTAATACACACCCAACTCCCAGGAGCCCACCCACAGATACGGTGTATTTAGATAACCACATGCACACCCACACCCAGAATTCCCTACGCCTGTCCACAGGCCCGCACCTCCAGGCAGTGCCTCTGGTTTCCTACGTCAGGGAGACAGTAACTATTACAGAGATTAAAACCCAGAAATGTAGTTCTGCTGTTAGTCCTGACTTCGTTGTATAAATTAACAAATCAAACCTTGTATTTGATTCTTTTGCTTTTTTTTTTTTTTTGGTTCTTTTTTTAAACCTTGCATTTGAAAGAAGAAACAGCTCAGGTTTTTGACAGCTTTAGCATGGTACACATGGGAATCGGCGCCAGCAGCAGGGTACACAGAAGACAGCTGCGATAAACCTCTGCAGGCCAATGTCTTCAAGGGCTTCCCAATTTTTTCTTAGATCAATTCAGGGCACAGAGCCGGGGCCCAGCCACATTGGGACTGTGACATGGGAATGAGATGTTCTTGAGGCGGTGACAAGTAACAAGTCCAAGCACAAGGTGAGTTCTCCTTACTCTGAGTCACTGGTCTCTACAGACTCTGGAACACAGACAGTGACGTGCAAGCTGCTAACGAGGAGCTCTGGGAAATCAGCCCTAGGGATGCCCAGACTTGGCAGCTATTTCTGTTCCAACCCCCAAACTCCTGATCTCCAAGGACAGAAGATCTACATTTTAGTTCCCAGTCAAACAAGCCAGGAGAGCCACAGTGTCGAACTCGAACGCCTCCTCCAGTGACAAAAGGTTGCTGAATCCTCAGCCCTCGCTGAGATGGTCCCATCATCCCGGGTCACACAAGAAGCCAGTGGGCATGAGGGCCCGTGAGAGCATCTGACAGCAGCAGAGAGCAGCCAGGTAAGAAGAGCTGGCAACGCAGGTGAGGGCAAGGTCGTCTCCAACACACACGCACAGATTTGCACTGGGAAAAGCAGACACAGTGGATCCCTTGGCATCTAACCAAGTCCTAAGAGGGGGCCTCTCTTGATTTGACAGGTGCAGCCTTCTCCCTGCCAGGTGGGGTGCCCATTGCAAGGTGGAAGCATTTCTGAGACGGACGCAGAAAAGCAAGCCGGGGGAAAGGAAGGCGATCCCTGAGGTTAGCGGTGCTGGAGGACCAGTGCCTTCAGCTCCTCGAAGCCTTTCCAGCGGCACAGTCAAGAGCCACCCTCCCTGCCCACAGAGGAGCCTATTCTGTCAGGCAGTCACGAGCCGGTTCTGCCTCTAGTCTCCGCCTTTCTTCCAGTCGCCTCCCCGTGTTCATCCACTGTGGGCGTGGTAACGGTCTTTCAGGGGGCGGCTGAGCCCCGCCGCGGGGAGGCAGCTTGGGCCGGGGTCCAGGCTCAGGCAGCCCCAGGGGTGACGTGCGGGAGCACAGCCCGGCACGGCGGCCCGCGCGGCAGACCTGCCGGAGTCACAGCAGGGCTCACCAGAGATTCAGGCGCGCAACTGCGCGTCTACGTAAGTCACGTAAAATGGCGTCATTGCCCCGCGCACGGGGAGGAGCCCTCCCTCACGCACGGGGTGCGGTCGGGGAAGCTAACTTAGCACTAAGAGGGGCGCGGTGCCGATCCAGTCCGAGTGCGATGAATGTAGTACAGGCCCTACTCCGTACGCAGCCTCGGCGCGTCGGGGCTTAGACCCTGAAATGACGGCGTTTTCCTTGTAACTGACCTTCCATTGCTGCTCTCGTAAGAACACCCTGGCCAGGTTCCACCACCTGAAGCCCCTGCGTATCAGAACGATCCCTCTTAGCGATCCAGTGGTCCAACACATTCTGAAACTTCGATTCCCCGTGTTTCTCTCCTCATAGCTTCGAGGCCGGGAGTCGGGTGAGGAGAGGGTGAGTGGTGGTAGACACCTCTCAGTCTCAGGCCCCTCTTCCCCTTCGCTCTTCGAGACCTAGCTCTTCCTGAGTTGGGGCGAGAGAGGGAGAGAGAGAGAGAGAGAGAGGACGTCCAGAAGGGGTTACTGTCCTTGGCCACTCAGGGAAGCTGCCCTTCCTTCCTCTGCTGGTGTCGGCTGCCTTTCTGGCTGTCGCGGACCGTGGCAGGGATACACAAGCTGGCTCCTCCGGGCTCACCTCCGCGCGTTTCTCGCAGAGGGTTCTGCAGGGACCCCCACATGCTCTCAGGGGTGGAGAGCCAGCTCGCTCTCAGCCGCTGTCACTCTCGAAAGCCTCCCCCAAGTGCAGCTGATTCTACCGTGCCCTATCGATCGCATCTCCTTTCCTGGCAGGCACGGCTTTGCCTTCAGTATTGCAAAGATGTCCCGAGTCAGGGGCCTTCCACGTGGTCCAGCCAGCCTGGCGGACTTACAGGAAAGACTTCATCGTGAACATATGCCCACGACAGTGTTACGGGGGGTCACAGCCTTCCTTCAGAATTACTGCCCTGTCCCCTCTCAGTCCCTCACCACCATGACATGTGTTTGGGAGCCGTGTTGGCTGTGCTCCTCCCAGCAAACACTGACAGGAAGTGACTAACCTTAATGCCGGCAGCTCTCTCAGAATGCATTTTGAGTTACTTAGAGCCCACTGACCCTTTTTTGGCTTTATCCACAGTTCTCATATTGTAGGGAAAAAACCACAGCCACCCTGCTATACCTCTTTCACGTTTATTTCAAGTAAATGGTAGCTAATCAAAATATGGACGTAAAACTGGGAGAAATTTTTGGAAAACAGCATTTTATCTGCTTTAGGTCTGAAAACCCTGTGGATCTTATCAATCTAATCCATCCATTTTCAGCCAGTGTGCCCCAGGAACTTCTATCTAGCTAGCTATCTACCTACCTACCTATCTATCTACCTATTTACTTTAGAGAGAGAGTAAAGGAGAGAGAGAAAGACCGAGAGATTGATTTGTTGTTCAACTTACTTATGCATTCACGGGCTGATTCAAGTATATGCCCTGACTGGGGGAGAAACTTGCAACCTTGACACCAGGGGACCCCCCAACCACCTGAGCAACCTGGCCGGAGCTTGCAACGACTTTTAAAACAGGGAATACTTGAGTATTTAGTCAGGGGCAGTGACTTCTTTCCCTAGATTGTCAAATAAAAAATGACATCAGCCAACACAACAGTTCACCTGTCTGGTGTGAATGAATCAAAATTATACTTTTGGGGGGGTCAGATCAGCAAATAATACTTTTCGGTGTGCTGCGGCATTTAGTAACCTCTCTGAGTCTCAGTTTCTTTATCTCTGATTCCTCTTACCGCTGTCCTCATTTATAAATGACAGAAACCATTCACAGGATGAAAAGAAATAGCGTACGTAAAAACACTTTGTACATACAGATAATCACTAAATGTTAGTGAAATCTCCATTAAGCTGGAGGTAATCAAAGATAACAAAACATAAGTTAAAATTATAGAATAAAATGGCTATTTCAGTGAAACTACCTTTGTAGAATCATCTAATTGTAATTCCTAAGCAATGATAATAATAGTGTCACAAAAACTTTTTAAAAGCATAACATATCATTATCATCTCATCTAACTTTACATTTGAGGGAGTATTTATTAAGAAATAGACTTTTCCCTGCTGGTGTGGCTCAGTGGATGAGCACTGGCCTGCAAACCTGAAGGTCCCTGGTTTGACTACCGGTCAGGGCACATGCTGGGTTGCGGGCCAGGTCCACGGCGGGAGGCATGTGGGAGGAAACCAATCAATGTTTCCCTCCCTCTCTTTCTCCCTCCCTTCTCCTCTCTCTAAAAAAAATAAATAAACGTAATCCTTTATAAAAAGAAATAAAGTTTGGATCTGCCATCTTTAAAAAAATTACAAGTCCAGTTAATTAAGTCACTCCTTTTACTTTTCATCACATTTTCTCTGCTACAGACATGGACATACACAACCAAACTAGAGTCACAGAATTTCTTCTTCTGGGGCTCTCTGGGCAGCCAGAGCAAGAGCACGCATTTCTTTTGCATTGTTCTTGGGTATGTACCTGCTCACCATCATCGGGAACTTCCTCATCATCGTGGCCATCATCTGCGACAGTCATCTCCATACACCCATGTACTTCTTCCTGGCCAACCTCTCCTGTGTCGACATCTGCTTTTCATCGGTCACGATGTCCAAGATGCTGGTGAATCACATATTGGGAAGCAAGTCTATCACTTATGTGGAATGCATGACGCAGACCTACTTCTACATCACGTTCGCCAACATGGATGGATTCCTCCTGAGTGTGATGGCCTACGACCGTTACACTGCCATCTGCCACCCACTCCACTACACCATGATTATGAGGCCCAAACTCTGTATCCTTCTGGTGGCAGTGTCTTGGGTCATTACGAACCTGCACGCTCTCCTTCACACTCTTCTCATGGTTCGGCTCACATTCTGTTCCAGCAGTGCTGTGCACCACTTCTTCTGTGACCTTTATGCAGTTCTGAAGCTGTCTTGTTCTGATACCTTTATCAATGACGTGATGGTCTTCACTGTGGGTGCATTGATATTTCTGACACCATTTTCATGTATAATCATGTCTTATGCTTACATCCTCTGTAAGGTACTGAAGCTGCCATCTGCCCATGGACTAAGGAAAGCCCTGTCCACATGTGGATCCCACCTCACTGTGGTCTCCCTCTTCTACGGGGCCATTCTGGGGGTCTATATGCACCCTTCATCCTCTTACTCAGCACAAGACACGGTGGCCACTATCATCTTCACTGTGGGGACGCCCCTTGTTAATCCCTTCATCTACAGCTTGAGAAATCGTGACATGAAAGAAGCCTTAAGGAAACTAATTATTAGGAGACTTGTTTTGTCAAGGTCCTAGTACTAGGAAATTTTATAGCTAAAAAGGCAATTGGAAATGATACACTTCTTCATTTTTCAAAAGAGAAACTGAGGCCCAGATAGGTGTGAAATTATCCCATGACTATTTCTGTAATTAGTGGTCATGATCTCATTTTAAAAGGAGGCTGACAGGTGCTCATAAGCCATAAACTCATTCATTTGATACCTATAGAAAGGTATAGAAAGGGCTGATCCCATGACCCCCATTACGCAGATGAAAACCAGACCGAGACCTAGGGGGAAATGGATCCAAGTGACACCTGAAAGCACTTTTTAAGGATGAGCATAGCAATGTTACACGGTACTGGCCGCCACTGTGGGTGGGACTTGCCAATGAATGAGAAATGGACTTGTTAGAGGCAACTGCTCTCTGTGCTTTCCCAAGGGAATAGTGGAGAAGCCTGTCTGGCATGGTCAGAGGTTGAGATTTCAGACACAGGGAAAGCTGAGAGCAGGCTATGTATGCCAGTCAGAGCCACACGTGTCAATGAAGTTTCAGCAATCCCACACCAATTATCTTACCGTGCATAATAAATCAAAAGAGAATGGACAGTACTAAATGATTTCAATATGTTAAAGACTATATCTGTATTATTTTATTTAACTCTCACACAGCCTTATGAGGTGCTATGTCAGATATTTCCATTGTACAAGATGAGAAAGTTGAGTCATCGAGAAGTTACCTTGTCCAAGTCGCTAAGACTACTGACTATAGAAACCAGGAAGGTGCTGAACATTTTCTTTTGATTTTCTTTTTTACTTCTTATTGTTAATTTTATCATTTTAAGTTGCATACAGTACATTTATCCTTTTGGAGGCATACAGTTCTGTGAGCTTTGAGACATCTATAGATTTGTATAATCACCATAACTATTGGGACAAGGAACAGTTCTATAAACTTCCAGTCAAGATGGTGAAGTAGGCAAACCCTGTGTTTCCTTTCTCCCATGACCACGTCAAAACTATGACTAAATTACAGAATAACCACCCTTGAGAAAAAGCTGAACACCAGCTGAAAAGCATTAGATCCTGTTACTAAGGATGTAAAGAAGAAGCCACACTGAGACTGGTATCATAGGAAAAGATGCAAAATGGCTGATTCCACACCCATGTGTGGTGGTTAAGAATAGGGAGGGATATCTTGGCTCTGGAGGAACCAGTTGAGGAGTGAAAGTCCCAGACCAGAGCCCCATGCTGGAAAGAAATGTCCCCACAACTCCTGGCTGTGAAGATCATCAGGGACTCCATCGGGTGAGATAGAGCACTGCTGTGACCCAGGTGTCCTCTTAAAGGGCTGGGGAACAGACTCACTCACTCACAACAACTTGCCTTAATCTCCAGCAAAGGGACAGCAGCTTGAAAAACACATAGGAAATATGGGGATGTTTGAATTGTCTGGCTTTAGTGCAAGGAATGAGGTACAGCTCTCTCTTGGACTAATGTGCTGGTACATGGCATTGTTTTACTGTTGAGTCTTCCCTCTTCTTATCCAGCTGGTGCACATCCAGTCTGAGTTTCCATTATCCTGGCCAGCATTACTTGCCCTACCATGGTTATTCCCTGAGACCACACCCAACCCAGTAGCACACTCTCAGTGGTTATTATACAGTAAATGGCCTCGTTATGCCCTGTACCATGGCTAAGTGGCCCCAAGCCCAGCTGTATTGGAATGGGGTCTCAGTTCATAGCACAGCCTGTACCAGGTGCCTCCAAGCCCAGTGCAGGCAGCTACCAAATGCAGATCATTTTATAGATCCTACCAGGTAGCCCTGGGCCAGGCACAGGTAGCAGCTGACCTGGGTCTGCACTCAACCCCTCCTAAAAGACCCAGGACCAACATACTAGGACACCACCCCATTAGCTCCATCAATTACACCAAAAGAGTGTATTTAAGATACCAGAACCCTGCTAAAGCTAGTCCCAACCCATGGCATCAGCCCCTACTCAATAGCCCGTCAGCTGTAGTCATGATTAGGACTCACAGCCAGACAGCCTGAGGGTCAATCTCATCCACTAAGCCAACAGCAATCAAGGCTCAACTATAACAGGAGGGCCCATACTACCCACAGAAGAGACATCCCTGGAACACCTGGCTCAGGTGACCAGGGTGACTGCACTACTGGGCACCACAGGACACATATTAGTACCTAAGGACCACCCTGTCAAGAGGGGGTACCTAGCAGGTATACCCAATGCACAGAAAAAAAAAAACAACACAGGAAGGCAGCCAAAATGAAAAGACAAAGAAACAGGTACCAAATGAAAGAACTGGAGAAACCTCCAGAAAAACCAAATGAAGGTAAGCAAACTACCAGATGCAGAGTTCAAAACACTGGTTACAAGAATGCTCAATAATCTTAGGGGGGAAAATAGTTGAATTCAGTGAGAGTTCACACAAAAAGATAGAAACCATAAAAAAATCAGTAATAAAGAACACAATAACTGATATAAAGAATATATTAAATGGAATCAACAGCAGATTGGAGGAGGCAGGGGGTTGGATGAACAATTTGGAGAAAAGGTAGATGAAAGCACCCAATTGAAAGACCAAAAAGAAAAAAGAATTTTAAAAATAAGGATAGTTTAAGGGACTTCTGGGACAACATAAAGCATACAAACATTTATATCATATGGGCACCAGAAGGAGAAGAGAGTGAGCAAGGTATTGAAAATATAATTGAAGAAATAATGACTGAAAATTTTACTAACCTGGTAAGGGAAACAGACATACAAGTCCAGAAAGCACAGAAGGTCCCAAACAGGATGAACCAAAAGAGGCCCACACCAAGACATATCATAATTAAAATGCCAAAGGTGAAATACAAAGAGAGAATCTTAAAAGCAGCAAGGGTGCTCCTATAAGACTGTCAGCTGATTGCTCAGCAGGAAGTTTTCAGGCCAGAAAAGACTGGCATGAAATATTTAAAGTGATGAAAAGCAAGGAGCTACAACCAAAGTTACTCTTTCCACAAAGCTATCATTTGGAATTGAAGGATATATAAAGAGCTTCCCAGACAAAAAAAAAGAAAGAAAGAAAAATAGAAAACTAAAGGAGATCATACCCACAAAACCTGTACCACAAGAAATGTGAAAGGGATTTCTTTAGAAGATGCAGAAGAAAAAAATATGAATAAGAAAATATGGCAAAAAAATACTCTACTGACAAAGGCAAACACATAATAAAAGCAGTGGTTCAACCAACTATAAAGGTAGTACAAAAGTGAAAAGGCAAAAGCAGAACAATCATGTGTAATTATTAAAGCAAACTAACTGATATACAAAGACACACACAAAAAAGAAGCAAAATATAATGACAAAAACACAAATGTAAAGAGGGTGAAAAAATGGTAGTGATTATAGAATGTGTTCAAACTTAATCATCAACTTAAAATGGACTGCTATAAACATTGTTTGGTATATATGAAGCACATGGTAATCACAAACCAAAAATCTCTAAGAGATATACAAAAAATAAAGAGAAAGGAATCCAATCACAACAATTCAGGAAGTCATCAATGTATAAGAGAAGAGAGCAAGAGAATAAGAAAGGAACACAAAAAAATTACAAAACAAGCAGAAAACAATTAATAAAATGCAATAATAACTAGAAACCTACAAATAATTACCCTAAATGGAGTAAATGCTCCAAACAAAGGACATATGGTGACTTAATGAATAAGAAAACAAGATCTCTCGATAGATAGATAGATGATAGATTATATAGATATAGATATATAGACATATCTATCTATCTATCTATCTATCTATATATATATATATCTCCATCCTAAAAACATCCCCTTGAGTTTGAAAGACACACAAAGATGTCAAATAAAGAGATAGCAGAAATAAGATATTTCACCCAAATGGAAATGAACAAAAAAGCTAGGGTAGCAGTACTCATATCAGGCAAAGTTGACTTTAAAACAAAGACTATTACAAGAAACAAAGAACAGTACTTCATAATGATAAAGGGATAGTCCCAACAAAAGGATATAACCCTTGTAAACTGTTATGCACCCAACATAGGAGTACTCAAATATATAAAGCTAATTGACAAACATACAGGGAAAGATCGATGCAATACAGCAATAATAGGGGATTACTCCATTGACATCAATGGATAGATCATCAAGGCAGAAAATCAACAAGGAAACAGTGGCCTTAAATGACACATTAGGTCAGATGAATTTATTGATAGTTTCAGAACATTCACCCCAGGCAACAGAATATATATCATTTTCAAGTACATAGGGAACATATTCTAGGACCACATGTTAGTCTCAATAAATTTAAGAAAATTAAAAACACATCGAGCATCTTCTTGATTACAATAGTATGAAACTAGAAATCAATTAGAAAACAAAAACACTGAAAAACACAAACACAGAAGCTAAATAACCTGCTACTAAACAATGAATGGGCTAACAACGATCAAGGAGGAAATCAAAAGATACATGGAGACAAATAAAAATGAAAACACTACAAACGCAAATCTATGGGACACAGCTAAAGCAGATTTAAAAGGAAAGTTCATGGAAGTATAGGCCTACCTTAAGAAACAAGAAAAATCTCAAATAAACAATCTAACATTACACTTAAAGGAACTAGGGAAAAAACAACAAACAAAGCCCAAAGTTAGCAGAAGGAATGAAATAATGAAGATCAGAGTGGAAATAAATTAAAGTCTAAAAGAGAATACAAAAGATAATGAAACCAAGAACTGGTTCATTGAAAAGGTAAAGAAAATTGATAAACAATTAAGCAGACTCATCAAGAAAAAAAGAGGACAAAAATAAAGAAAATTAAAAATTAAATAGCAGAAATAACTACTGACACCACAAAAATGCAAAGGATTATAAGAAAATACTATAAACAATTATATGCCAACAAATTGGACAACCTGGAAGAAATGTATAAATTCTTAGAAACATACAATCTTTCAAAACAGAATAAAAAAGAAACAGAAAATCTGAGCAG